GTATATTACCTGCACGTATGTGAATGCACCCGTGTCGTGCCTTGCCTTGGAAGGTCAGAAGAGGGCTTCGGATTTCCCTGGAACTGGAATTAAGGATGGTTCATAGCCACCATGTGGGTGCTGAGATTCGAACCCAGGTCCTCTGCAACAGCAGTCAGTGCTCTTAACCTCTGAGCCATCTCTCCAGCCCCGGTTTATGCTTCTTAAAATTGAAACAGTCCCTCCCTGTCTAAGATGGAAACCACTGATAAGCCTTTTGGAGGGAAGTTCATGATCTATGAGGCTCTAAGAGGATTGCTTTGGTAGTGATGTTTAGGAGGGTTGGGGAAACGTGAAGTTGGTGGCGAGAGGAAAGCTATGGCAGTGAGTGAGTGAAACATCTCTAGTTACCAGAACCAAAAATCTAACCTCAGTCTTCTCCAGCAACAGAAAGCATAGAGTGTAGAATCAGACAGCAGACTGGGCAACCCAGGCCCCAGAAGAAGGGAATGCCACCAAGTGCACTTCCATCAGCCCCCAAGAGGCCAGTGACTGCTGAAGGAATGATACATAACAGGTGTCAGTTCCTGAAGGCCATGGTCATGGTCCATGCAGAGGGATGAGGCCTAAGTGGCCAGTATCAGTAGAACTGGAGAGGAGTGGAGGGGGACACATGAGCCTCTGGGGAGAAGGCCTAGGAAAGGTGGAGGGTGCTGGTCGTGAAGGGAAGGTGAGGCAGGTCTTTGCTGATGTGGGTGAACTCTACTTCTCCCCTTGGGGACTACAATTATTTCTCTCTTCACCTTTCCATTGCCTAGGTATGAGACACAGGCCTCCTTGTCAGGCCCCTACCTGACCTCTGTATTGGGGAAAACAGTTGGGGACCGAGAGTTCTGGCAGCTCCTCCGAGCCCCTGATACCCCTCTGCTGCAAGGTGAGTCTGGTGGTCCCCTACCCTGGATATGCCTCCTATCTCAACCCTGACCCAGCAACAAGGCTTCAGCAACTCGGCCCAACTTTCCCCAGTCTTCCTGGGCCATAGCTTCAGAAAAATCACTCATGTTCAAGGTTGGATTGAATATATTTAGCTGAATTCTTAAAATTTCCTTGGACTCTAGTGTGGAAAGTCTAAGAAACAAGAAAGGAAGGGAGGGAGGGAGGGAGGAAGGAAGGAAGGAAGGAAGGAAGGAAGGAAGGAAGGAAGGAAGGAAGGGAAGACACCTACAATTCACTACCTAGAAATAAGTCTTTAAAATTTTTGATACATTTTCTTATAAGAAATGTGTACAATATGCTTGGTTTTCATTAAAAATGGAGTCATAACTCTTATCAACACAGTCCAATAGATATAAAATGTCAGATAGGACAGGTGTTGTGGCACACATCTTTAACCCCAGCACTCAGGAGGCAGAGGCAGGTGGATCTCTGTGAGATCAAGGCCAGCCTGGTCTACTTAGTGAGTTCCAGGGACATGGGGCTACCAGGAGACCCTGTCTCAAAACAACAACAAGGCCGGGTGTGGTGGTGGACAACTTTGATCACAGCACTTGGGAGGCAGAGGCAGGAGATCTCTGTGAGATCCAGACCAGCCTGATCTACATAGTGAATTCCAGACTAACAGGGACTACAGGGAGACTCTGTCTCAAAAACAACAAAAAACAAACAAGCAAACAAAACAAAAGTCAGATAGAGGTGTAGTTAAAATTTTTCCAATTGAGGAAACTAATATTAAATGCTATATCTTATTTAGCTCAATGTATCTCAAATATTATCATTCAAAGATGTAAAATTCCAATGTAAAATTACTAATGACATTTTACATGCTTTTATTTTTTTGGTTTTAAATTTTTAATTAATTATTTTGGAAACAGGGTCCCTTCAATGTAGCCCAGCCTGGCCTTGAATTTACAATCCTCTTACCTGAGCCTCCTGAACAATGAGATAACCGGTCTGTCCCCATCACACCTGACTTTGGACTCTTCCAAGGGCATTAATCCTCTTTAAGAAGGCTTCATCTCATGATCTAATCACCTCTTAAAGGCCCCACCTTCTATTTATTTATTATTTATTTAATTTTTTATTTTTATGATCTTTTTGAGACCGGGTCTCCATGTAGCTCCAGCTAACCTGAAACTCACTATGTAGACCAGACTGGCTTAGAACTCACAGAGATCCACCTGCCTCTGCCTCCTGATTGCTGGGATTAAAGGTGTGTGCCACCCTGCCCAGCAAGGCCTCACCTTCTAATACCATCACTTTTGGCTTAGATTAGTCTCATGAATTTTGGGAAACACATTCAGACCAAAGCATATCCATTAAAAGGAAACCTCCCTTGGGAAACTGAGGCAGGGGGATTGTTGCCAGTTTGAGGTTAGCCAGGGCTACATAGCGAGAGCCTGTCTCAAACCCCCCACAAATTAACTAACTAACTAACTAACTAACTAACTAATTAATTTAAAATGTCTTTGGATACCTGAGTTATCAAGTAATGCATCTAAGACCGCCCAAGTTTGTTGGCATTATTTCCACTTTGTTAATTTTGTGGAGCTGAAGGTGAACCAGTACCCCATGCATGCTTGGTCATTACTGTCACTGAGCCACACCCCAGGTTCTGGCTTTATTATCCTCCTCTGTTCTCCAGTGAGAATGGTGGTGCTCACAGAGGTTAAATACCTTGCTCAAAGTCACCATGCTAATGAGTGACTAGGCTGGGGCTTGAATCTTGGTGTCCTGCTGGAGTTTGGATTCTCTTGAGAGGGAAGGCTGAGTCCTTAGACATTTACTTGTGGCCCTGATTCTCCTTCTGGACAACTGAACAAGCCCCTGTTCCTGACAACTCCAAAGTAGTTCATAGATGGTGACCCTGCCAATTGGGTGCTGTCAAGGCCCCTGGTTCCATTTACTCTATTTGTTATCCAGCTTGCAGTCCCGCACCTCTATCCCCCAAGGGGGTCCCTTCTGGCAGAACTGGCCTGTGGCCTGAGGGATCCTGCAGTAGCTGGTTCAGCGTCTCCAGCTGACTCTGGACAGCTCCCAGCTTCCTGCTAACAAACCTTGAGTGTGTTTTACAGTACATGGCTTCAGAGTGGGGGATTACATAATATGGTTGGGGGTGGGACACTGCCTTGCTAACCACCTTTGCTCCTCGGTTTCTGCAGGCATTGCTGACTACAGACCCCAGAATGGAGAAACAATTGAGCTGCGGCTGGTTAGCTGGTAACCCTGGGATCCCCTACCCCAGCAGCCTTGCACATTCCCTACTGATGTCCCTGGACCCTGCTGCCACCTGCTGTGTGCACTTGAAGTGATGTCCCTCAGATCACCTCAGCTATCTTCCCTATGAGGATCCTAAGCCACAGCCCCATTTGGAAGCAACCACCTTCCCTGGGGTCTCTGCTAGCCTAAGTCTGGCCCTGCTTGGCGCCATAGGCCTCTCGTGAAGGACAAGGCTGTGCTTGACTTCCTCTACAGAAAGAGGAAGGAAGTCTGCTAGCTCTGGGAATGGGGTCCTGCAAGGAGGTCTCCTGTACCTCCCTGCCTGTTCTATTGTCAGGGTGGCCATCCCAGAGCTGGTCTTAGGGCAGCCTCTGACCAGGCCTCAGCAAGGTCTTCCAACATGATTAAAGCCTTGATTGTCCTTATGTGGCTGCAGTGTCCTGGCATCTTGGGCCCGGAAGTACAGGGGCAAGGAGCAGAAGAGGGGAGGTGTCTCAACAAGTCCGCAGGGCTTGTGAGCAAGTCTCCTGGGCATCAGGCTGTGGCACTGGCACAGACAGTGCTGACCACTGTCTACTGAATACCTGTTTGCTAAATATTGTCTGGAACAGCTTTGTGAGGTTGTTCAGATTTTCATCTCTGCATTATAGATAAGGAAACTTGTGGTCAAAAAGTGAAAGTGACTCAATGTCATAGCTGTGGAGGGAGTGTCAGGCAGTGTCAGGCAGGAGACATGCCCAAAGCCTTGGGCTCCACCTCAAGATCTGCTCAATGCAAAAACCAAAACAATATTTGCTAGGCTACAGATGTTGCTCTCTTGGTACAATGCCTGCCTGTCTTGCACAAAGCTCTGGGTTCAATCCCTGGCACCACGGAAAATCTGATGTGGTGGTACATGCCAGAAATTTCAGAACTCATTTGGGAGGTAGAGGCAGGAAGATCAGAAGTTTCAGGTCACCCTTGGCTACAAAAGCAGTTTGAGACCAGCCTGAGTTATATGAGACTCTCAAAACAAAAACAAAAACAAGGGGCATGGTGGTTCACCTTTAATCCCAGCACTTGGGAGGCAGAAGCAGGAGGATCTCTGTGAGACGGAGTCCAGCTTGGTCTGCATAGCAAGTTCTAGGCTAGCTGTGGCTACAGGGAGAACCTGTCTCAAAAAGACCACCACCACCACCACCACCACCACCAATAAAAGAACAGCGACAAAATAACACAAAGCAATATTTGCCAGAAAGACCCAGCCTACCAACCTGAAGGCAGCCAAGGGCAATTTTGGACTTAAGTTGGGGCTCAAAGCTGCCTGGTCTCCACCCTCAGGCCTTTCCACCTTCTTCTGGTGTGGCCAGCCAGGACTGATACTACCTCCAGTTCTAGCCCCCAAGCACCTCTTATTTTCTATGTCCCAAAGCAGGGGTCTAGTCCAGCACACTTAGCAGGAACCCAGAAAAGCCAGAGATGAGAGAGAGTCATATTTGGTGTAGGGCCTCGCCATGAAGTCAGAAAGGTCCTATTTCCAGGTCTCAGGGGACCAGGTTGTATGCTGCGTACTTCAGATAGGAGCAGTTCCACAATAGCCCTCCCACTCCCAGCCAGCTTCCTAACTCAAAACTGTGGGGTGGTGCCTTGGTTTACAGTATGTTTGTGACTGTGATCTCCTCATGGGACACAGAGAAGAAACTGGGGTCCCAATAGAGAAATGATCTGGCAAGGGCTGAAGCCGTAGGAAAAGAGGCATATGCCTTGATATCTCCATCCTAGTTGCTACAAATGGATTGTTTTCCCCTTCCAAACATCCCTCAGAACATCTCTATGATAGCAGCTTGGTCCCTCGAAGGGGAGGGCTCAGATTTGAGGGAAATCATAGGAAAGTACAGGCTGCTCTGAGCTTTTGAGTGTTCCACAAGTAATATAAAGGAGCTCCCCACCCCCATGCCCTCCTTGAATGTGGGACCCAGTGACCCTCCATTTTCCCACATGTAAATATCCCCCTATTGAGAGTGCCACTGTTTGTAAACTGAGGCAGGTTAAAAATGGGCAACAGATGGGCATGTCAGTACACTACCTTTAATCCTAGCGCTTGGGAGGCAGAGGCAGGGGGATCTCTGTGAGCTGGAGGTCAGCCTGGGGCTACAGGGAGACCCTGTCCCAACAAACAAACCCGTCCAAAGATGGCCAGTGGCAAGTGCCTATAATCACATGAGATACAAGCAAGAGGATCAAGAATTCAAGATCTCATCCTCTGACTATACAGACTTTGAGATCAGCCTAGGCTACATGAGATCCTGTCTGAAAACAGAAAAAGCCATACATTTCTTGTTCTAATCTTCCACCACTTAAGATGCAGTGCCTCTGGGTACCTGCTCCCTGTCCCCACAGTGCCAAGTCCTCTGTGTATCATCCATCCCTTTTTCTGCCTCTAGGAGTTGCTGAGGAGCGGGCAGGATGAGGCCCTCCATCTCAGGAAGTCAGTGATGGTGTCTTCCTGCTTGCTTCCTTCCAGGATGTCTGCCTTTGGTCCTCTTCTGCTCTGCCTTCAGCCTCTTCTGGCACCTCAGAGTATTTAGTCCACTCCATGTCACTGAGGTCTGCCAGGCCTCCCCTTGATTAATCTCCTTTCCTCATAGCCTCCTGTCATCAGACAGGCCAGGCAGGAGCTACTTTGTGGTGGACTTGGAGGTGGCGCAACCCAATTTTCTTTAAAACTTATTTATTTTTAGTTTATGTGTATGAATGTTTTACCTGCCTATGTAAATGCACCCATGCGTACAATGTCCATGGAGGTCAAAAGAGGTGTCAGATCATCTGGAACTGGAATTACAGATGGTTATTAGTTGTCATGTGTGTGCTGGGAGCCGATCCTGGGTCCTCTGCAAGAGCAGCCAGGGCTCTTAACTAAAAGCCACATCTCCAACCCCAAGAAGAAATATTTTTTTAATGGAAGGAAACTTACTAGAAAATGAGCAAAATATCCAAAAGAATAGGGAGCCCATACTCCTCCTCTTCAAAAAATGGGGGTGTGTGGCCTTGTCTGACTCAGTTTCCTTCCCATACTTCTCGGAAAAACTGTCTAAAGGACCCCTATTTTGGACCTCAGCTTAGAAATCTTCATCTGAACTCCCTTTCAACTTAAGCTATTCAACAGTGATGTGCCGGCTCCAACAGGCACCAGACTCGTCGCAGGAAAATGTGTCGATTCCTGGTCCAGTGGGACAGAGAAGTCTGATTCGGATTTCCAGGGGCTGGGTTATTTTCACCTGTGTCCCACGATTGTGAAGGGGTTGGGGGTACTTGGCAGCCATGCGGAGGAGTGGCCACCAGAGAGCGCTGCAAGCCGAGCTAAACTGTCCCCCTTTGAAGTGGTTTTTTTCCTCTAGGCAGGTTGATATCCAGAACTTGCAGGTAAGACAACAGGGGCTGGGGGTTGGGGCGGCTTAGGCGTGTTCAGGTGGGCTGGATCCCTAGGAGAAGGAATCTGGGTGACTGGGAAGAGCTCACTGCTGGTACTAAGTTTCCTGGATGGGCCTTGATTCTTGCTCACCTGCCTCTGGGGCGACCTACTTAGCTAATCCTGAACTCAGGGAGCATCTATTTTTCCGATGGCAGAGCTGAGAACTAGCCAGGGGCAAGGTCTTAGTGGCAGCCGCTCGGCTTCCGGGCCCAGGATTTTGTCCTGTGGGCTGTAGGAAATCCAGCAGTGAGTCACTTCGGAGTGCCCAGGCCTCAGGACACAGAGTCTGCTGGCCTGGGATGGATGCCTGTTCGCGGTACCCTGCTTCCCGCAGCTGTGGTTGGCTCGGTGATTCAGTTTCTTTCTGCTAGCCCAGCGGGGCCACCGCCCTGGCCTGGGAGGAGAAGGGTAGGGGGTGGGGGGCGATGGGGTCTCCTTAAGGGACTCTGTGGTTCCAGAGCAGAGCGTGGTGGTGAACACCTTTAATCTCAGCACTCGGGAGGCAGCGGCAGGCGGATCTACATAGTGGAAAAAAAAAAAAAAAATCTCAGGAGATGATTGTGGCCAGGATCAGGTGGGGCCTGGGTGGTCCCTCGATGCCCTGCTTCTTTGATGGCTTTGGGGTGACTGCGGGATACCCCAGGGTTTCCAGCACCGGATACTGGTCTCTAAGGGGGGTTCGTCCCCGAGGTGGAGGCGGTCCTTGATTTCCATTGGTGGCAGGTGCAGCTGACTCCTCCACTAAGGGAGGTTGTAGGCCGCAGATGAGCAAGACTAGGAGGAGGCGCGGATGTGGGCACGACAGACCCAGCCTAGGGATAGCCAGCGGGTGCGTGGGGCGGGGCTAGACATCCCACCGGACCCCAGGGCGGGGCCTGCCCAGGGGCGGGACCTGGGGCTGAGCTCAACTTTCCGGGTGGGGCGCGGGCTGAGGCGGTGGGGAAGGCGGAGCCGGGAGGGCGGAGCTGCGCCCTCCCTGTTGGGTAGGACTGGTGGCCCGCGCCAAATGCCGCCAGATCCACAGCCGGTGCCGGAGCAGTGGCAGGGAGCTGGAGCGGAGGCCGTGCTGGCGCCAAGCCCCAGTCGCCGCTTGGTGGTTTGGAGCGCGGGCCGGCGTGTCGGCCTCTATTCTGGGCTCTGTTTCAAGCAGGGAGCCGCGACCCCCGCTCCCAGGCTCGGAACGCGATCGCCCCTGCCCGGCCTGGTTGCAGCCTGAGCTCTAAACACGCAGGAGACCCGGGGTGGGGTGGGGGTGGGCGTTGGTCAGTATCCTCGACCTGACGGCCTGGGGCTCGAAGGGGAAAACAGCAGAGAGGATTCCACGAAAGAGCACTGAGTGAGCACGGGGCGCCGAGGAGAGTGGAGACTTCACCTGGCTCCGGAAGGAGGTGCCCAGGACTGACGGAGGCCTGGCTTGGGCACCAGAAAGCCTGGCATCCCAGCAGCCACGACCTCGGCTCTGCCTTGACTGAGTCAGAACTCTCGATTGGCTCGGGCCTGGCAGAAGTGGTGCCCTCATCTATCTGAGCCAGGCACAGGACCCAAGAAATCCGGACCCTGTCCAGCGCGCAGATCTCTGGTGGTCGCTGGAGAGCTTGCCTCCTGCAGCAGCCCCACTGGTGCGGATGTGCCTCTGTCCTTTGGAGCGCCATGAAGGAAGGATGACCTCAGTCAAAGCAGTGGCAGTGACTGGAAGTTCCCGGGAGGATGGACCCCCAAAGTGGCCTCCTGACAGCCCCCAAGTCCTTGGGCAGCCTGGTCGGGCCAGGGTAGCTGTGGCAGCACTGGTGTGGCTGCTGGCTGGGGCCAGCATGTCAAGCCTCAACAAATGGATCTTCACAGTGCACGGCTTCGGGCGGCCTCTGCTGCTCTCAGCGTTGCATATGCTCGCCGCAGCACTGGCATGCTACTGGGGAGGTCGGCGCCCCATGCCCAGCAGCACCCGTCGCAGAGTATTGTGGCTCAGCCTCACCTTTGGTTCCTCCATGGCTTGTGGCAACGTGGGTCTAAGCACTGTGCCCTTGGACCTGGCACAGCTGGCCACCACCACCACACCTCTGTTCACACTGGCCCTGTCTGCACTGCTGTTTGGCCGACGGCACCATCCACTGCAGTTCGCTGCCATGGGCCCCCTCTGCCTGGGTGCTGCATGCAGCCTGGCTGGAGAACTCCAGGCACCCCCAGCTGGCTGTGGCTTCTTGCTAGCCGCCACCTGCCTCCGAGGCCTCAAGTCTGTTCAGCAGAGTGAGTACTTGGGGTAACTATCTGAAGAGGTGGGGTGTGTGGCCTGGATGTCCCTTTTACAGATGAGGAAATGGGCTCAGAGAGAGCCAAGAATCCAGTGAGTTCCAAGACTTCAAACTGGGGCTGTAGAGGCCTAGTTAACAGTTGTTGGTGATCTGTGTTCTATAACTTGACAAGCCTTTTGTCCCACTGGATCCTCCTTACTGCCTCTCAGGGGGGCAGGTGCCTTATTGTCCCCATTTGATAGAGATGGAGAGTCTTAGCCAGGGCCATATGCCAGTGAGCAGTAGAGGCAAGATTTGAACCCAGCGTTCAGACTCCATTCTGTTCAAGCTATGTGTCATAAGGCTAGGAACCCAGAAAGAGGTCAGGAAGCAGGGGCCAGGGAAGAAAAGGGGAAGAGTTCAGGGCCTTCAGCTGGGATTTGGAACAGAAAGTTTGTCAAAACCTGGGAAGTGTTTACTAGGGGCTGTGTGATAGACCTGATGATGCTGGATGTTGATCTCCAGTTGTCATAGCAACTACCACCTTCGTTTTCATCTTACAGGTGATGGTAAGATAGAGTTTTACTAGGGGAGGGGACAGGGGACGTGAGACAGTGTCATGCTGTGTAGCCCAGGTTGGCCTCAAACTTGTGATATTCCTGTCCCAGCTACCAAACAGATTTACAACTGGTACAGGGTCACACAGCTTCTAAGAAATGAGGTCTGGCCTGTGTGACTGGGCATTTACTCCACTGGGCCTGGGCAGGGCACAGAGCAGAAAGAAGTAAGGCTGCAGAATCAGGCCTAGCCCCTGCTATGCTAGACTGTGTGCCTGAGGGTGGAGGTTGGCTTCCTGTCTGGGCAACTGAGGGGCATCTGAGTCATAGCCCTCACCCTCTCTTCCACCTTAACCCAAGGGAGACCTAGGGGAGGCTAGAGAGTGGGGGCTCTCCAGGGTTGCTGAGCTATGGTTGGGAGGCAGCCTGAGGCTGAGTAAGGGTGAAGTGAGAGCTCAGCCCTGCCTGATCCTCCAGCTGGGACCCAGAGTTCCTGTCCCCATCTTCCCAGGCCACAAGCAGGGCCAAAGCCCAGTTCTATTTTAGCCCTCAGGTTACATGAGCTGAGGCCTGAGCTCAGCCTTGAGTCAGCTCGGGGAAACCCAACCCTGTGGGGCCCTCTTGGATAGGACCAGGAGGCAGAGAAGGCCCCAGCATCAAGGTACACTGCACCTGCCAGAGCCAAGTACTCCTTACATTTGGGCTGTAGCGCTCCTGCCTGCAGGAGGGGCTATGACCAGACAGGTGTCAGGGTGCTCAGGAATGTCCCTAGTGGCATGTGACTGGCATCAGGCCATTTCTTGACTTCTGCCAGCTCTCTTCTTCCCTCTCAAGTCTCAATTTTTTTACTCTCTGAGTGGGTTGGGTACCTGTTCTCCCATAGTACCCTCTGATTCCCCCATTATGGGGCACATTCAAAGCCATTGATTTCCTATCTGCTTTCCACTAGACAGGCTTTGGGGCACCTCTGAGTCCCCAGCACCTGGCCTGGGGCCTGGCACAGGGAAGATATTCAAATGATGAACGGTTATTCATGGTTTTGTCATCAGTTAATGTCAGATTGGTAAATCTGGTTAGGCTCGATTGCTCAGGGTGCTAAAGAGGGAATTTAGGAAGCTAGAGTCCCAGAAACAGAAATGGGAACTTAACCTAGCCTCGATTGGGAGAAATGGACTAGATCCAGGGGTTGAAATGGGTTTTTTTCGTTTGTTTTTTTCCTGTTTTTTTGAGACAGGGTCTCTCCGTAGTCCCACGTGGCCTGGAACTCACCCTGTAGACCACCAGGCTGGCCTCAAACTCACAAAGATCTGCCTACCTCTGTCTCCCAAGTGCTGGGATTAAAGGCATGCACCACCATGCCTAGCTTGAAATGGGTTTTTAAAAAGATGTAACTTTTTTGCCAGAGGCAAATCTCAGGCCAGGTTCAGACTAGAATATAAATGGGTGGAATCAGCCTCTTCACTGACAGCAGATGGCATGAGAACAGAGGGCAGAGGAGAGCTCAGGCAGCCATAGGCAACAACTTCCCCCCTACCTGGACCAGCTGCAGGCCCTGGGGTGGTGGTAGTGTGGAGTGGAGCAATGCTGTCCTCCTACCCAGAGAGGTTAGAAGGGAGGTGTCAGCCAGCTGAGCCTGTTGTCACCAGTATCCCATATGTTTCAGAACCTGGCTTGACTATTGTCCTTTGAGCCCACAGAGACTGGGGTGCTGTATTTAGCAAGAGAGAAGTTCTAGAGCAAGGTGTGTGTCAGGCAGCAGGAACCGAACCTGGGGGGTGTGTCCACTGCTGTGCTGGATGTGTATGCTGAGTGGCCATGCTCTCCTGTGAGAGGAGCTTTGTCACCCTCCCCATTCCACACATGAGGGAACAGACATAGAGAGGTCACACAGCTAGGGAAGGGACAAAGTGGAGACAGGCCAATGACAAGAGATTAGCACTTACAAAAGGGTCATTGCTGTTCAGACACTAAAATGAAAATGCCTTTGGAAGCCAGCATGGAATGGAGTACATGCCTATAATCCAAGTACTCTGGGAGGATTGTTGTTCAAAGCCAGCCTGTAATCCCAGAACTTTGGAGAGTGAGATAGGAGGATCACACAGCTAGTGTGAGCCAGCCTGGGCTACATAGAGAGTTCCAAGCCAGCATGAGTTGCATGGCAAGACTTTGTCACAGGACCAGCAAGATGTCTCAGCAGGTGAAAGCACTTGTGGCACAGAATTTGTTCTGAATTTGATTCCCAGAACACACAGTGGAAGGAGAGAACCAACTCCTGAAAGTTGTCCCCTGACCTCCCCATGTTCTACTTACACACATCACATACACGCACCACACACATCATAAACAGACCATACATACCCACACCACACATATCACACACACCATACATGCACTCATATATGTCATACACACATTATACACATCATAATACACATATACATACATATCATACATCTCATATTCATACCATATACACATTACATATATCATACACAGTACACATATATCATAAATACACATATACATCATACACACATCATATAACACATCACACACACAATACATATCACATGTATTATACATATACACATCAAATACATACATCACACATAGGTCATATACACACAACAATAATCATAAAATTAAATTATAAAAAGACCTTATCTTGCCCCCCCAAAAAACACTAAATAAAAATAAATGTGTTTGGAGGGTTGGGGGCTGTAGCTCAGTGATAGCTTGTCTAACAAGGATAAGGACCTGGATTTGAGCCCTAGCTCCAGAAGCTCTGCTTGGATGGAGAAGCAAATCATGGAGAGTTTTTATCTGGAATGGGGTTGTGAGGTGTCAAACTAACATCTTGAGGGTTAGTCACTTCTGCCAGGGGACCACTGCCCTCTGAGCTGCTGTCTTTAAGGTGCAGGCCGGGGTGGTGCCTAAGATGCTAAATTTGGAGCCAACGAGCTGGAGGCATTCTGATTATTGTTTTCTAGAAATTTTTAAAGCAGAGGAACTGTTGCCTAGAGAACCAAGCCCAAACATCAGAGTGAACTGAGGGAGGAATACAAGTTCTTGTTCTAAGCCTGGCCTGTGAGTAAGCATGGCTGGGCTCTTAGGAAAGTGTGTGTCAGAAAACACAGTGAACTGGGCGGGTCCAGGAGGGCACCAGGATCAATTGCTCATCTATCCCCACTAAGAGTCACAGAATGCCACAGATGGTCCCTGCCTATCCAGGGTGTGTAGGGTTTCCTTTGTGAATTGACTGAGTAGAAGCAGGTGTAGACATTGGCACATATATTCACACTTGTGCAGGTGGCAGGATCCCCTCTTTCCTTAAAAAGATAAAAGATTCCCTTTTAGTCCTGGATTCATCTTGATAAGCCCCAGTATTAGTAATAAAAACTGTTATATGCTGATTATCTAGGCATGGTGGTACACACTACCTATAATCCCAGCATTTATGGGGAAGAGACACGATCAAGAGTTCAAGGCGAGCCTCAGTAACAGAAAGCACAAGGCAGCCTTGGCCACTTGAGACTCTATCTCAAAAACCAAAAACAAACAAAAACCTGATTACCAGTCAAAAACAATGAGCGACTGCCAACAGCCAACAATGACTGTCTTGTTACTGGTTCTATGTCTTCCCAATGGTCATAAATGGTTGAAGCAATGGCTGCTCTCACCATTTTGATTCAAAATGACTTTTTTCTTTTCTCTTTTCTTCTTCCTCCTCCTCCTTATACTCTTCCTCCCTCTTTCTCTCTCTCCACCTTTTTGCCATGTGGACAGCTAGTAAGTGGATAGCAGTGCTGGGTCGTCTGCCGGCCTGTCCCTGCTACATTGCTGGAGCTGCATTGTGGGGTCCTGGTGGGTATGATGGGGTTGAGGCTAAGGAAGGTGGGTGTAGCCAGTTGGTGCAGGGTCTTTACAGCCAGGCTAGGAACTGAGGACTGAGCTGGGTATGGTGACTGAATACCTATATTCCCAACTCATGAGTTTGAGGCAGGGGGATCCTGTGAGTTTGAGGCCAAGCTGGGCCATGTCTTTAAATACAAAACAAAACCAACAAAAAGACTTTTCTCCAAGGTCTGGGAACCCCTGAAGCTTTGTGTTCTGGGGACAACTGTTTTTTATGCGATTTCTCGCTTTCAGCCTATGAAAAGCGATGTCATCGTGGCCTTGTTTATTGAATTTTAGTTTTTTCATTTCCTGAGCATTTACCTTTATTTTTTATTATTATTTTGTGTGTATGAGTGTATTGCCTGCATGTGTGTAAGTGCACCTGTGTCGTGCAATGCAGAGGTCAGAAGAAGGCGTCAGATTCCTCCGGAACTGGAGTTACGGGTGGTTGTTAACCACCATGTGGGTGCTGGGAATAGAAACCAGGTCCTCTGCAAGAGCAGTCAGTACTCTTAACTGCTGAGCCATCTCTCCAGCCCCACATTTACCTTTTAAAAGCCTTTATATATGTTATCTTTGAAAATTTTCACAATTTTACCCAACTCCCCAAGGGAGGAAATGGAGGTTTGCGAAAGGCCTGGGTAGTCAGGAGTGGGCACAGATCACAAGCTCAGGCAGCCTGACTCCCCTGCTTGATAGTCATGTTTAGGAGTAGGAGCCACTAGCTCAAAGGGTGAGGGCAGGCCTTCTGGAGGCTGGGCCATGGGGACTGGGCTGCCTTGGCTGCTTCGTGGGGACTGCCATTGCACTGGGTGCTGATGACCACTGTCCTGATTGCAGGTGCTCTGCTGCAGGAAGAAAGGCTGGATGCTGTGAGCCTGCTGTATGCCACCTCTCTGCCCAGCTTCTGCCTGCTGGCAGGTGCTGCCCTGGTGCTGGAGGCTGGTGTGGCCCCACCACTGGCTCCCATGGACTCTCGCCTCTGGGCCTGTGTTCTGCTCAGCTGCTTCCTGTCTGTGATCTACAACCTGGCCAGCTTCTCCTTGCTGGCACTCACCTCCGCCCTCACAGTCCATGTCCTCGGCAACCTCACGGTGGTGGGCAACCTCATCCTGTCCCGGCTCCTGTTCAGCAGCCACCTCAGTGCACTCAGCTATGTGGGCATCACACTCACTCTTTCAGGAATGTTCCTTTATCACAACTGTGAGTTCGTGGCCTCCTGGGCTGCCCGCTGGGGATTGCGGCTCAGGGACCAGCCTGGAAAGGGTCTTTGAGACCTGGGGGAGCTCATGAGTCACATGTGGACAGTCTCAGCCAGAATCCAACCTTGGCAGGCCATGAGGAAAGTGGAGAAGAGGTGCCAGGTCGGGGGGAAAAGAGGCGCCTTCTGGAAGGGCTGCCTGGGAGGCTAGGCCAGAGACTTCCAAGACATCCAGTCCTGCCTGCCTCACCTGTCATAGCCACACCTGCCACTGAATGGTGGGTCCAAGTCTGGCATAGTCACTGTGCAACAGATGAATTATTACCATTAGTATCAACTACTATGCTGAATATTGCTGGGAAAACTTGGAAAACCTCAATGTGTTCTAGTGAAGATGACCACGATGCTTGGTTACATAATCTTTCCCCCAGCAGGGGAGTCAGTGAGAGACCACAGAGATGGGCTTCTTCTTTGTTGGGCTCCCCTAAAGACTTGGGGTAGTCTGTGCCAACATCAGGCAGCTGCTGTGGCCTCACTTTGGGTCCGTCCCCTCAAATTTTGGGTCTTCCATCCTTAAATAAACTATTTTTGCTTGGAGCACCTGTGCCATTCCTTGGGGCAACAGCCAAGGGAGTAGAGAGTAGTTGGCCACCACTTGATTCTCCCCACCCACCTTGAACCAGCTTTGGTCCCCAGCCTCGCCCTGTTCTCCACAGCCTTCCATTGGCCTAGCTGCCATCACCAATCTTCCCTGCTCTGCCCTGGCCCCCTTCGTTTAGAGAGATCTTCCTAAAATACACATGCTCTGTTGTTCCACACTGCTCTGAGGACAAAGTCAGAACATCCTCCTGTTTACCACAAAGCCCTCCTTATCCTGTGGCCTCATCCAGGCTCCTGTTCTTCTTCCCTTCCCCTTGGGCTCCAGTCTCACCAAGCACAATGCCAGCACACTCACCACCTTTGCTATCACTGGTTCCTCTTCCTATACAACCCCTTCTCTTGGACACTTACCTGGAAGAGAAAAAGCCCTTGCATGTTATTCTCCTTTAAAGGAGGCCTGATAAGAGAGGGGCTTGATGAGGGTACAAGTCCAGTGCCGTGGGTGCACTAAGTCCCTGCACCCAGCCACCTCCCCCAGAGACCACCTAGCCTGGGACCTAAACCTGTTCTTCCTACCTCACTACTCCTCCTAAATAGATAGTCTCTCTCTTCCTTTCCCTCTCCCTGCATCTCCCCTCTCAACCCTTTTGGGTTGACTTCAAAAGCACTAAGTAGCTGAGGGGGTGACTAAATTCTTGACCCTTCTGCCTCTACTGAGCAACATCTCCAGCCCTTTCTGAGCCTCAGTTTCCAAATATATAAATGGGGCTAATGATCCCTAGAGGGAGGATTTGAATGAGAAGCCCAGTGGCTAGAGCCAGGGGCAAGAAGGAGGGGCATAGCCAGTGGCCAAATGACCTTGATGTTACCACAGGCTAGTATTCCTGCTCCCTGTCGAAGTTCTGGATCAGTCTGAAAAATGGGTCACTTTAAACTGGGCATGGTGGTGTACTCCTTTAATCCTAGCACTTGGGAGGCAGAGGCAGGTAGATCTCTGAAATTGAGGCCAGTCTGGTCTACATAGCAAGTTCCAGGCCAGCTGGGGCTACAGGGAGACACTTTTGTAACGATCAAAACCAAAACCAACCAAAAAAAAAAAAAAAAAAAAACCACAAAAGTTTCCTTTTAAGTGAGGATAGAGTTAGGGCAGGCCTAAGCTGGGATCTGGTAATTATGTAGCAATAATTCACAAAGGACCCCTGTGTCAGGCAGGGTATGTGGAGGGTCAGCCTATGGCTGGTCTGGGTAGGTGGTGAGGGGCTAGAAAGACAGACACAGGGTTTCCTAGCCTCAATCTCCACCCAGGCTGGCCTTATGGAGGAAAAGTGGGTCTGGCTGATTCACTACCACTCACCCTCCCTATGACTCAGAGATGCCACCAGCCCCACCCAGCCTTTATGCAGCTTATGTATGTCTGGATTCCACTCAGCCAGGCAGGAGAGAGGAAGAGATGGATCTTCTTGGTGACTGTTGCTTCCCCTGCCCCGCCCCCACAATTGGAAGGAATCCCTACAGGGGAGCTTCCCTGCCCATCCCTCACTCAGGCTCCTAGGCCACAGAAGATGTTTCCTTAGGGAGTGAGCTCCCCCACACCATTCAAGTCAAAGCCTGATAGTGGGGAATGGAAGAATGTCTCAGCAGTTAAGAGCACTGGCTGCTCTTGCAGAGGACCAGGGTTCAGTTCCCAGCACATGGTGGCTAACAACCTTCTGTAGCTCCAATTCCAGGGGATCTGATGTCATCTTCTGGCCTCTGTGGGCATTGCACAACATGAGTGCAGTTACATACATGCTGGCAAAACATACATTTAAAAAAAAAAGCTTGATAGTGTAGGACAAGAGATTAGCTGAATCTATGCTTGACTTGGGAGCTGGTCTGTCACAGATACTGAAGTGATGTCCCCAGTGCGTTTTAAATCACTGCTCCTAGCAGTGGACACAGAGATCAGCAGGCAGAAAGCCTGCATTTCAGTCCTAGACTCTCCTACTCACAGCAGGACCTCAGACTGGTCTCTCCTGTCCCCAGAGCGTCACCAGGAGTGAGGATCACAAGGAATGACCAGTAGGTAGAGTCCCATTGTGAGGTCATTGTTCCTCCGGGGCTCTGTCACTGATTCTGTTGCCTTGGGCAAGTGGCCTCACCTCTCTTGAGGCTTCATCTTTGATCTTTGTATCTAGTCACTGCTGGGAAGCTCAGGGTAACCTAGTCACCTCCCTGGGGAAGTGCTCTCCTCCCCTCATCACTGCCCTATGCCATTTGAAGCCCCAGTGCATGATGATCCTGCTCTTTGCACCATTTCATATGAGGCCCCAATTACACTCTACCTGAGACCTAGATTAGTGCTTCTCTTAAAAAAAATTTTTATTTAAAAGAAAAAGGAAAATATATATTTATTTTTATTTATATTTATTTCCATATATTTATTATTTCCACCCTATGTGTATGAGTGTAAAGCCTGCATGCGGGTAGGTGCACTCATATTGTGCAATGCCTGCGAAGGTCGGAAGATGACGTCAGATCTCCTGGAACTGGAGCTACAGATAATTAGTTGTGTGGGTGCTGGGAACTGAACCCAGGTCCCCCTCAAAAGCAGCTAGTGCTCCCAACCACAATCTTTCCAGCCCCTTCTTTTTTAAAAAAATATTTTATTTTTATGTATATGAGTGTATTGTATTGCCTGCATGTATGAGTGTACCCATGTTATGTAATACCCACAGAGGTCAGAAGAGGGCATTGGATCCCCTGTAACTGGAGTTACAGATGGTCGTTAGCTACCATGTGGGTGTTGGGAATTGAACCCAGGTCCTCTGCAAGAGCAGCCAGTGCTGCTTCAACCATTGAGCCATTTCTCTAGCCCAGTATTTCTTTTTTTTTTTTAATTTTATTATTTTTATTATTTATTTATTTATTTATTGGTCTTTTTGAGACAGGGTCTCCCTGTAGCCCCAGCTGGCCTTGAACTCACAGAGATCCACCTGCCTCTGCCTCCTGAGTGCTGGGATTAAAGGCGTGCGCCACCACGCCCGGCCTAATTTTATTATTTTTATTTTATGTGTATATGTATATTGCCTGCATGTAGGTAAGTGTACCTGTGTCATGCAATGCTCTTGGAGGTCAGAAGAGGCTGTTGGATCCCCTGGGACTGGAGTTATGGACAGTTGTTAGCTGCCATGTGGGTGCTGGGATTCAAACCTGGGTCTTCTACAAGAACCACCAGTGTTCTTAACCACTGAGCCATCTCTCCAGTCCCATGTAGTTCTCTTCTTTACCAGACTTAGCTCCAAGACCACACACTGACTCCAGCACTGGGATGGCATATGGCGTGAAGCAGATGTTAACAGCCACATACAACCCAGTCCTAGTTTTGTCTCTTCATCGCTGTATTATACTTGGCCATAACTTTTGTAGTCTGGACAGCAGCAAACTAGCACAATTCCTTTTTCCCTTTTTCATAACATCACAGGCTTGTTCTTACTCTAGATCTTAGCAACCTTAGCATACAATGTCTTTCCTTATTAAGTCAAGAACTTTCACTTTTTCACTTAAAGCAATTACAGCTTCTTTTTGGTATATACAAATTGCTAATTTAACTTTGCTATTCTGTTTTGGGACTATGATTGAGTAAAATAATGATTACTTAAACACAAGTGCTATGAATCCATAATCAATCTGATAACCATAACCAAGACACCTACTAAGTGATTAGTAGGGGTAATGTTACTGTGAAGATATGCTGGACTAAGTTGATTCATGGGCTATGTGAGCAGTGTAGTATTTCACAATGCTACTCAGAATGGCACACTAATTTTAAAAGATTTATTTTTATTTATGTGTACATATACATGAATATACATGTGTGAAGGTACCCTAGGAGGCCAGAAGAGGGTGTCATATCCCCTGGAGATGGAGTTATAAGCAGTAGGGAGCTGCCTAATGTGGGTGCTGGGAAGTGAACTCGGGTCCTCTGGAACAGCAGCAAACTACTGCTCGTACGTTGGAAGAGCAGCTCTTAACCACTGATACATCTCTCCAGCTCTGACATATGATTTAAAACAGGAATTATGTATTTCTGAAGTTTACCATTTGATAGTTTCAGACTACAGTTGACAGTTTATTAGTCACTTTTTCTTTTGCTGTGATAAAAATACCCTGATAAAAAGCAGCTTAAGGATGAGAGGGTTTATTTTGGCCCAGGCTTTAAGGTTACTATCTATTATTGTGGCAAAGTTGTGGCAGCAGGCACTTGAAGCAGTTCACACAGTCACATGGCATCCACCGTCAAGATGCAGAGAGCCATGAATGCCTGTGCTCTCTTTCTCCTTTTCAAACAGTCCAGGATCCCAGCTTATGGAATGACGCCACCTGCAGTGGGCAGATCTTCCCCACCTCAATTAACCTAATCAAGATAATCCCCCACAGGCATGCTCAGAGGCCTGTCCTGGGTGATTCTAGATCTCATTAGAATTAGGCTCACAATTGAGACCAACCATCACAAAAGTCAATAACAGAAATCATGGAAGGTGACACTGAGGACAAGGGATGTGCTACTGTAATTGTGAAGACCATGAGTGGAATCAGAACTGGATTTGAGTCCTGGCTCTGTCATGATGAACTATGACCTGGAACCAAAGCCTTCCTTTCCCTTGCCTCTGTGTAGTGAATGGGGCAGCAGTGAAACCTAAACCAAGCTGCATGGGAATAGTTTAAGAACAAAGCCCAAAACATAAGTGTCCTTAGTCAGTGTCAGCAGATGCTCTCCAGTTCCTCCCCAGGGCATGCTGGCCATCTCTCTACCCCCTCTTCTGCCTCTACCTGCACACTGCCTAACAGAGCAGGGTATATACCCCAAGGCTCCTTGCCCAGCCTTGGAGGAAGCCCAGAAGCTGGGGCTGTGCTGGGCATCCTGCCACTGTGGACTTCAGACAATGTCGCGCGCCCTCCAGCGACCACCCCGCCAGCAGTGAAGGTCGAGGAAGAACGACGACACGGTCAGGATTCTTCTGCAGGAAGGCTTTATTGCA